AAATGCAGGTACTCTGCTTGATTGTGAATAGGTGCAAATGGCCTATGCATAGAAAATACCAATTGCATTTTCACTGGACAAAATCTGCAGGAGAAATCCAATGATCAGACTGCTGATAGACAAATACACAGATAATAAGAGGCTCAGAACCATAGAGAGATTTAGTTACAGTTTCACAGACAGAAGATAGAAAGATTGATAACAGCAAGTGTGTTTAGGGGTGTTAAATAGCTGACTATATCAATGTTTTTGGATCATTGAACACAGCTGTTTGCAGTCTCCCTGTTTGAATGTCCACCTTGTATTCTTTGATACTGTGATTTGAGCAACTATTTTCAAGATGATAATATGTAATCTATTAACAGGTGATTTCTTACTGTTATTTTTTTTTTGTAGTTCTGTATTACGTGTACCCTTACACCGCTTTGTTTTGTTTTGTGTTTTTCTCTTTTTCCTCTTAAATAAAAAAAAAAAGATTGATAGACAGACTAGATCAAAGTCATCCTCAAGTATGCTCCATGGTCCAAGAGAGCTGCTGGAGCTCCTGCCATTGGTATATATTCTAAGCAACAAAAAAGAGAAAATAAAGGCAAATGAAATGTGTTTTTTAACTAGATCTTTCTCTTTCAAAGAGACATCCCAAAAACCCTTTGCAATCACTCTATATTGCATTTAGTGGGCTAGAAACTCTTCCAAGGCCACATTTTGCAGTAAAGGAGCTTGTGGGAACATAGGTGGGTCACTCAATGCAGTGATAACACTCAGGTGAGCAATTAGGCTTAAGTAGTCAGGTTTAGTTAGTAGGGAAGATGAGACTGGAGTCAGAGGCCAAGAGCAATCTATCTCACCTAGGACAGAAGGTCTATGATGAGGATTTAAATTCCTGTATGTAGTGAGTTCCTATCAAGGGAACCGACAAATGCCATATGCTCAGCAAACTTGACACTGATTTTTTTTTTCCTTATGAAAGGGCCACGACCTTAATTTCTCACCTCATCCTGAGATGTGCAGGATAGGACTTCTCACACATGAATCACTGCCTTTTTGAGGCAGGAGGAGTTTGCTCCTGTGTGTTGCAGGTTGTGCCCAAGCAACGCACCCCTCTGCTCACTAAAGGTCAGGAGCATCCCATTCTCTACTCATGGCAACCAATAATGTCTCCAGCCATGTGCAAATGTCTCTGCAGGGAAAAACAGTGCCCAACATAGGCAACAGCCTGCCTTGATGAGGACAGGATACTACATTTTTCTGGTCTGATATCAGTGGTTCAGTGATGCAGGGGTGAAACCCTTTGAGGATACTGTGCTGAAAAGAGCAGACTTTCCCAATGAATATCAAGTAACCACAACAAGTCTCATAGGAAGAAAGTGGATTATGCTTTGTTAGCTTTTCTTCTCAACCTTGTTGGACACTAGAGTAATGTAGATTGAACAACATTGAAATTCCATCTCAAGCCAGAAAGAATATAGCAAGCAAGCATCAACAAATCAAATAACAAATGCTGGAGAGCAGCATTTGTTCGGTGGGGAAGGTTTTCTAAATTGTTGGTGGGAATGCAAAGCAGTACAACCACTATGGAAATCAGTATGGAGATTGCTCAGAAAACTAATAATGGAAATTCCACTTGACCCAGCCAGTCCCCTAGTACGTGTCTTCTCAAAAGAGGTAATGCGATCATTAGAGTAACCCACAGCACAATGCTGTGTATACAGCAGAGCAACCCATGATAGTTAATCTTGGCAGCAATGGGTTGTCATGGTTTGTCAGTGACCCCCAAGCCTCATGAATTATGGACTCGACCAAAGGTAGCATTTGTGATTGGTTCGTTATCTAGTGTTCGCATTGGTGGTATGAATACTATACCCACTTAGGGGTGGAGCCAACATGCAATGTATTGGCGGGACGGTGTGTCTCTCTCTCTTGCCAGTTTCCGCCTTGCTGTTTGCAGCTGCCATGAACTGTGGCCCGCCATGCCACCCTGCCTTGGAATCAACTGAGTATGGACTGAAACCTTCAAGAACTGTAAAAAATAAACTTTTCCTTCTCTAACTTTGGGCATCAGGTGTTTTGTCTCAGTGATGAGTTAAAGGGAACTAAGGCAGTGGGCATGCCCACGAAGAGATAAAGGGATAAGTAAAATGTGATATTTACATACAATAGAGTACTTCCGTGCCATAATATAAAGTAAACTGAGTCATTTGTAGGAAAATGGATGCAACTTGAAACTATAGTGTTAGGTTAAAAGAAAATCAAACACAAGCTTAAATATGACATGGTTTTATCTTCTATATGAAATCCTCATTATAAACAAGGAGCAAAATTACAGATAGCTAATAGGAAGTAAGGAAATAGAATTTTCTCAAATGGGAAGGGATCAAGAGATTATGGGAGCGGAGAGAAGGGGATGAAAAAAGGAATTAAGTTGTGGTTATGTATATGCAACAACTCAACCCAGGAAATGCACACACTATGTGCTACAAATATCTAATTTTAAAAAAGAGAGAGAGAGAGAGAGAGAGAGAGAGAGAAAAGACAAAGAAAACAGTAGTCAAAGTTTTTTATCCATAGGCAACCTACTGTTAGAAACAGTGACCCCGACTTTAGTGTGACCCAATAGACGTGCCGATTGATTCCAGGATTTTCAGCAAATATGCTCATGCCTCAGTTTTCCTATCCATGAAACAGAATTACCATCATTCACCATGATCCTCACTGATCTAAGAAGAAGACTTACATTGCTTAGTGAACCACCAATCACACACACACACACACACACACACACACTCATTTTCTACACACATACCCAGTTGCAATGTTTTCAAAGATGGTTTACTAGCATGTAAGATGTGGACCTAATGATCCCCAAGGATCCCCAAGAAAACACAACTCTGAAATTTATGTCAGCTTTATAATGTATTCCAAAATTTCTGATGGAGTAAGCCATGACTTATCGATCAATTGTTACTTTCAGGGAAAATAGAATTGATTCCTTTTCATATGAAATCCAAACTCAGTCCAGCCTTCGTTATTTCATTGTACAATGTGATGTAATAATCTCTGACCCTAGTGATGCCATTTCCTTTCATTGTAATGTTTTAAAATAACACAAGCAAACTTCTCTTTATACACATTGCCTTCATGTCTGTAAAAAAAAAAAAAAAAAAAACACTTGATTTCTTGGTGGGTGAAGGAGAAAATTGGTCTAAAGAAAAAAGAATAGTGATGTAACAAATTATCACTCATGTAATATCCAACTATACAAATGGAACCAAAACAATACTATGCTCATGAAATTTGGTCACCCTCGCACAATATGTGTGGTATGTGTGCAATACTCACATACATTTGGAAATATATATTGTGTATGTGACATCTATGTATTTCAAAATTTTATCTAACATAAAATAAGTTAAAATCTGAGTTGAAGAACAGTCAATATATTAGCTATTAGAAAACATCTTGTAAAGTAAGTATTTAGCCTTTTACATAAAAGAGTAAACAAATCAGAAACCAGGAATTTTATTTTTCCTCAAGATGCACAGATTCATGGGATGGGAGTGGGGCACTGTGGTAGAACATTTGTCTTGCATGTGCGATGCCCTGGGTTCAAGTCCCTGCACTGCCAAGAAGACTAAGTTTATGTTCCCCAAGTTATTTCACATCCACTCACTTACCGATACTGTTCAGTTTTTAAATAACACTCATGTTTATTAAATAGCACAAAACTAGCATAATTATAGGAATACATCATTGCAAGCAAGTTTTTCCATTTAGGAATATCATTCTACACTCATTTCCTTTGAGATAATGCATCTACAAGGGGTCCAAAAATAATATTCTTCAAAATGTTTCAGTAGTATGTATCGTGTATTCCCAAATGAACTTTTGGTTGTAAAATAATGCTTGATTTTAGTCCTAATAGCAATGTCTATGAAATAGATCCTGGAAAATATTGCTTTGATCCCAAAGTTGCTCTAATATTATTAACAAGGTTTGTAAACTTTATCCACATATATAGTGTATTTTACACTAGATAAAATACCATCATATCTTCGTGTGTGTGTGTGTGTGTCTGTGTGTGTGTGCGCACGCGCACGTGTGTGTATGCATGTGTGTGTTTACGTGTGTTTAAAACTGTAACGTTTTCGGACTATGGAAGAAATTTACAGCAAGAGTTCAAGTGAGTTTAATGAGAAAGTTTAGGGTATGTGTATGTGTATAGCAAGGAAACTCAAAACATAAAAGAGACTGCTTAAAGAATATAGTCATTTATGGGTCGGGGATTTAGCTCAGCTGCACAAGCACCTGTCTGGAAACTGCAAGGTCATGAGTTCGATCCCCAGTATCCCAAAAATGAATAAAGTCATTTAGCCACCAGTTCCTATAAACCAAGAAAATAATATACAAAATGATTTAGGTGTAAGTACAATTCATTAAATATTCTGGCCTAACTGGAAGGCATTTCTCATTTTAAAAATTGTTAAACATTCCAGATAAAGAGAAAATAAAGTAGTATACAAAAGTATGGATACCTGTAGCTTCATTACAGTTGACTGCACCAGCAAACTATCTAACTGATAAAATATAAGTATTTACATGCATTATTCCTAGGTATATTCTGTTCTCTCCCTCTCTCTCCATCTCTCTGTCTCTCTGTCTCTCTGTGTGTCTCTCTATCTCTCTCTGTCTTTCTCTCTCTGTCTTTTTGAGGCAGAGTCTCACTATGTAGTGCAGGCTGGCCTTGAATTCACTGTGTAGCCTAGACTGACCTCAAACTCACAGCAATCCTCCTGCCTCAGCCTCTCAAGTGCTGGGATTATAGGTGTGCACCACCATACCCGGAGTGTTTTCTTGATATTGTTCTACAATTAAATGAAACATAGCCATCAGCAGAAAGGGTATATGTGAATTCTTTCTACCACCTTTGAAATTTCCTGTGAACCTATATTCCGAAATCTAAAGCGTTTGACTATTTTAAAAGTGAGTTGTAGAAGGCCTACCTTAGAACACTGCTTGTGATTCTGACACCAAACCAGGGAACCATTGTTCTGCAAAAAGAAAAAGAAACATCAGTCCATTAAATGATTCTCTAGTTGAAAGCCATACACACACGTGTGTGTGTGTGTAATTTTTAAAATATTTGCATAACAAAAGACAATCTTGTGAGGCCAATATGTTTGTCCCCAAGACAGAAAAAGTGTCTAATGTAAAACTTGCTTTGTCACTGACCTCATGACAAAAACAAAGACAAAATTTTAATAATAATTCCAGGCTGTAAAAGGGAAAAGGGTCTGATCCAAGAGTCACAGTGTGCCAAGCAAAGAAAGACAGACCTGCAGGAAAATGAACTCTAGAAATGTTTTCCAGAGTAAGCAGACTTGGTCAGTTTATAAACTGAGCATCTTGGAAGGTTTTGATCTCAATCAATTTTCAATGATAATATTGTGGGGCTGGGCATGAGACCCCAAGTGACGAGCCTTCTCCTTCTCTTTCACTGGATGAGTATCACTCTTGTGCTTCATTTTACCGATGTGTAAATAGGCATAACAGCAACATATTATGCATCGGGTCATTCGGGAGATGGAAAGAAACCAGTTGTGAGACACTTCACCTTGGGGAATCCTTCTGAGCGGCATTAATAGATGATTTTTACATGATATGACCAGCATAGGTTTTGCTACAGATCTGTATGAGAACCTCTTGGCATGATTTAACTTTCACCCAAACACTAGGACTATGACTTATTGATCCGAACACTAGAATCTCTATCTGGTAGCAAACAGGTTCAACTCACATAAGATTTTGGATGTGGTGTTTCCTTTGGTTGCAGTATTTGAAGTTCTTTTTTTTTTTTATTTTATTTAAGAGGAAAAAGAGAAAAACACAAAACAAAACAAAGTGGTGTAAGGTTACACATAATTTTGAAGTTTATAGAGGTTTATTGAGGTATAATCCACTTATAATAAAATCCACTCTTTGAAACCATGGAATTCTGTGACTTGAGGATATTCACAAGGCTGCGAACCAATCATCTCTAGCTAATGTTAGAACATTTCCATCAGCCTGGAAAAACACCTGTATCCTTTGAAACCACTCTGGACTTCTCTGGATTCCTGTCCTTGGCAGCCACCCAACCGTCTCTATGATTCACCTGTTCCACACAGCTCCCAGAAACGGAATCACAAGACACGCAGCCTTTTGTTTGTGGCTTCCTTCATGAAAACAATGTTTTTCGTTATGCTAAATAATATTCCACTTTATTCCCTCTGGATTGCATAGATACTTGTTTATATTGCCAGACTCCTGTGTATGCGGACACTGTATTTTGCTCTTTTTCATCATTGCCTCTTAATATATTCTTCACCCAGTAATACAACTGTAGTTATAGGATTCCCAATGCTTCTGAATACATATCAGCTGTGCCAGCCTGTTTAGCTGCCGCGCCTGGCCATAGATCTGCAGAGGAGGAGCTGGGCAGATCTGGGGTGCCCTCACTGGCCTCTCTGCGTGTCTGGAGGACTCTGGATATCTGCGCCCAGACTGCTGGAGTTCCCTCAGGCTTCCAGGTGCAGTGAAGGAGAGAGGTGGGTTTGAGGCTTCCACATCAGCCTCCCCATTCCCGGCTTCATTTAGAGACCTGCTGAGCTCCCTATAGGTGGGCTGGCCCACACTACCAGCCTAGCCCAGCCTGTTTAGCTGCCGCGCCTGGCCATAGGTCTGCAGAGGAGGAGCTGGGCAGATCTGGGGTGCCCTCACTGGCCTCTCTGCGTGTCTGGAGGACTCTGGATATCTGCGCCCAGACTGCTGGAGTTCCCTCAGGCTTCCAGGTGCAGTGAAGGGGAGAGGTGGGTTTGAGGGTTCCACATCAGCCTCCCCATTCCCGGCTTCACTTGGAGACCTGCTGAGCTCCCCATAGGTGGGCTGGCCCACACTACCAGCCTAGCCCAGCCTGTTTAGCTGCCGCGCCTGGCCATAGGCCTGCAGAGGAGGAGCTGGGCAGATCTGGGGTGCCCTCACCGGCCTCTCTGCGTGTCTGGAGGACTCTGGATATCTGCACCCAGACTGCTGGAGTTGCCTCAGGCTTCCAGGTGCAGTGAAGGGGAGAGGTGGGTTTGAGGCTTCCACATCAGCCTCCCCATTCCCGGCTTCACTTGGAGACCTGCTGAGCTCCCGATAGGTGGGCTGGCCCACACTACCAGCCTAGCCCAGCTTGTTTAGCTGCCTCGCCTGGCCATTGGTCTGCAGAGGAGGAGCTGGGCAGATTTGGGGTGCCTGCATGGGCCTCTCCATGTGTCTGGAGGACTGTGGATATCTCTGCAACCAGGGAGGGTCCACAGGTTCCTGAAGCACTGCGGCCTGTGGTGAGTACCCTAACCCGGCTGCGATTGAAGAACTGTGGAGCTTCCAAGGGGCAGGTGGGCACACAGTGTCCCTGAGGCCCAGCTTGTCTGGAACTGCAGAGTTCTGAGCAGGCAGAGGAGGGCCACTGGTTCTGTAGGCCTAATGGCTTGGGGTAGCGCGGCACCAGAGTCTCAGTAGCTCCAAACATAGAAGGGGATTTTCAACAGATCCTGAGGAAGCTTTCAAATAACACTTGAAACACAGAAATATAGGAAAATGACAAAACGAAAGACCAAATTACAACCTCAAACCTCCAGCCCATCTCAAGAAACCCTAGGAGCGATGTATATAGAAGAAAATATATCCCATCCACCTCATATATCGGACACAATAGCCACTGAAATTGACAAGCAACTCCAGGAAGCTTTAAAGAAATTCAAACTCGAAATAATCTCCCAGATAAAAGAAGAAATGATAAAAGAAATGAAAGAGATTCTAAATATATCTAAAGAAAACACAGATAAAAAATTGGAGGAACTAAACAAAAAGATAGAATCCCTAGACGAGCAATATAAGAAACAAACAGAATACATAATGCAGATGCACAGAGATATACAGGAAATAAAAAACTCCACTGAAAGTTGTAAAAACCGCCTTAATGAAAGTGAAGATAGAATTTCAGACCTTGAAGACAGGATTGCAGCTAGTGAACAGGAAAGGAAAGATCTTTTGAAAATAACAAGGAACCAGGAAACAACAATTCAACAACTGCAAGACGATGCAAAGAAGAATAACATAAGAATGATAGGGATTAATGAAAGAGAGGGAGACAACATGAAGGATGTCAGGAGGATATTTAGAGAAGTAATAGCTGAAAATTTCCCAAGCATGAGATCAGAAACTGACATCAGGATCAGTGAAGCATATAGAACTCCAAACAGTCATAACCAAAATAAAACTACACCCAGACATGTAATAATCACCATCCCAGAAATCCAACACAAGAATAGATTATTAAAAGCTGTCAGAGAGAAAAGACAAATCACTTATAAAGGAAAACCTATCAGAATCACAGCAGACTTCTCAGAACAAACGATAAAGTCAAGAAGAGCATGGAGTGAAGTATTCCAGATCCTAAAGCAAAATGATTTCCAACCAAGACTGATATATCCTGCAAAACTATCATTCAAAATAGATGGTGCAATACGATACTTCCATGACAAAGAACAGCTAAAGAACTTCATGAACACCAAACCAACCCTGCAAAAAATATTGAAAGACAGTTTAGATACACAAAGGAAAAAACCACTAAGCAAAGCAAATAATTAAACAGAACAGAAAGATAAAGATGCAACAGCAGAGAGATAACATTCCTACAATTAACCAGCATTTAACAGTAATAACCATTAATGTAAATGGTCTCAATGCACCAATCAAAAGAAACAGACTAGCAGAATGGATCAAGAAACAAAATCCAACCATATGCTGTTTACAGGAAACCCATCTAACCCAGAAAGATACTCACAGACTGAAAGTCAAAGGATGGAAAACAATTCTCCATGCAGCAGGAATCCAAAAAAAGGCAGGAGTAGCCATTCTGTTTGCAGACAACGTGAACTTTAAACCAACAATGACCATAAAGGACAAAGAAGGTCACTACATACTCGTAAGGGGAAAACTCCAAGAGGAAGAGATAACCATCTTAAATATATACGCACCAAACTCCAGAGCACCCAGTTATATAAAACAATTATTAACAGAAATGAAAACTCAAATTATCAGTAACACAATTGTAACAGGAGACCTTAATACACCACTGACACCAAGGGACAGATCAACCAGACAGAAAATGAGCAAAGAAATAACAGAACTGAATCACACCTGTGAACAAATGGGTTTGATAGACATATACAGAATGTTCCACCCAACAACATCAGAATACACATTCTTCTCAGCAGTACATGGATCATTTTCTAAAATAGACCATATATTAGCTCACAGAACATATTTAAGCAAATGCAAAAGAGTTGAAATCATCCCTTGCATATTATCGGATCATAGCGCTCTGAAATTAGAAATTAATGACAAAAGATACTGCAAAAATTCCACAAACACATGGAAACTAAATAACACACTCTTGAGTAATCAGTGGGTCACAGAAGAAATTAAAGAAGAAATTAAACAATACCTAAAAGAAAATGAAAATGCAGATACAACTTACCGGAATCTGTGGGATGCAATGAAAGCCGTTCTGAGAGGAAAATTTATTGCACTGAGTTCCCACATCAGGAAAACAGAATGAATACAAATAAATAACTTGATGCTACACCTCAAACAGCTAGAAAAAGAAGAGCAAGTCAAGCCCAAAGCCAAAAGAAGAGAGGAAATTATAAAAATCAGAGCAGAAATCAATGCAATAGAGACTAAGAAAATAATCCCAAGAATCAACGAATCAAAGAGTTGGTTCTTTGAAAGAATAAATAAAATCGATAAGCCCCTAGCCAACCTTATTAAAAAAAGGGAAGAAAAAGCTCAAATTCATACAATAAGAAATGAAAAAGGAGAAATCACTACAGACCCAATAGAAATACAGAGGATCATCAATACCTATTTCGAAAACCTCTACTCTCAAAAGTTTGATAACACAGAAGAAATAGACAGATTCTTAGAAGCATATGAAGTACCAAAGCTAGATCAAGAGGATATA